GTTGTCAGAATAATGTTTGGTATAACGATGCACAGTCACCCGGTACTTGTGAACAGATCAGCAACTGCTGGAACAGCGAAATATCAGTTCATCAAATTTAGAGCGGAGAGCACATATTAAATCATCCAGACCATCGATCTGTTTCCTGAGGGCAATGTTTCTTTTGTTCATTGTTAGACCTTTTATTAACACTCTGCTGGAGCTCGGTGTTTGTCCGAACCCCGCGTGCTAATGATCACATTGTGTCCGACAGCCGTGCTAGATTATGGAGATGCTGGCACTTGGGAAGGACTGGGACCTGTTGCTGTGCATCTGGTTTTTGTACGTTGCTAGATTGTTTGCAAGTTGCGTAGTTTGCAAATGCTGTGAACTGAGGCAGGCTAGGAATGGAAGAAATAAGCAGAAAGGCTTTTAACTTTCAAGTAATTTTTCTTCCATTTTTGACAGGACAATTCATTCATCCAATCCTGTATGTAAACACTTTCAAAGCTTTAGGAGATGATGTTATATGTAAATCTCATTAATTAAACCTATCCATCATTCAAGGCCAGGTGAAAATATAAAGAATTAAAAAAACCTCTTAGTTCTTTTTCTAGTTGAAGGTGTGTAAGATTATATAACTTACACAAGCCTGCTAATACGGGAAGTTACTCTGATTTCCAAAATACGTCCTTTTTGCTGTTTATGTTTGTTATTAGGGATTTATAATGAAAATTACATTGATCTTCCATCATCAGTACTCAAATTGAAAACTTTTAAATATGGTGCCATTTTAATAAGAGCATTTTGTAGAGCTTGCTATCTGTGCTACAGGTGTTTCTTCGAAAGCCAGTTAGAATGGGCGTGTTCAGATATCAAACTCTTCCAACTCAGCCAGGTGGTTCTGACCCAGTGTGTTTTTTCTGTATCTGGTTGTAGTTTTAAAGAACGTTAATTCAGAAGGGCAAGTGGATACAGAGCAAGCCATTGTAGAAGTCAGATAATCAAATCAGTGCATGTCCTTGAACTGTCCTGATTCAATGCTCAAAATTGGATTGTTGTTTTCATACCAACACAACAAACTTCTGGTTTATTCCCACAAGCATTTGGGATGCTTTGGATTTTACATAAATAATAGCTTCAAATCTTAGTAATACAGGAAGGAGAAAAAAAAGTGCTCTGATAGCTAATGTGAAAACACGTGAGCTGTCTTATATTTGAATACATCTCTAGGTAATATTTAAATCCTGGTGAAAATGTTATAACAAGTCTTATAACTTTTGACCAGTTTCATATTTTAAATGTTCGATTTCTAATGAGAAAGGCCTTTTCCAGTGGCCAGTCCACTGTACAGGAGAGATAAATTATCTTTTGCTTACATCCAAGAAAAAAGTTACAGAATGTGTAGAAGTAACTATTTTTGTTCTTGTGATAAAAGTTTTTTTCCCTTCATTATTTTGTTTCGTGGGGCAAGTATGTTTGACATAGACTTCAAATTTCTTTTTAAAGAGCATCTATTCCATGCTTGTTTTCGTAGAGTGTCACATAGAAATGATACGTATGCACAGATTTAACTCAAGTGATTATTGTTCATTGCAGCTGGAATGGCAACTACATTTATTCATATTTTCCATATATCATCCAGTCGCCTTATATGTCCATCTTTGCCTCCTGCAGTGTCCTTATCCTCCCGAAAGCTTTCAGCCATGTTAAATAGAAGTATGTATTTGGAGCTGGAGCTTGCCTGGTTCAGCTAAATTATAGGTCATACATTGTTTGAAAAATTGTCACTAGTCCTGAGTGCTAAAGGGTTGGGCTCGGTATATCTCTCCCTTCCATAATTTTAGCCGTGTGCTGTGACAGTACTTACGCAAAAACTCCTGGTGATTTGAGAAAGCCCTCGATTTTTTTGGATGTAAAAACAGCTGTGGCTCATCCAACTCCTCTGAAACAAGGCAGATATTTTTCACCAATATGATGGGTTTAGGATCGGTTCCTGTGTCAGGAAGAAAATATCTCGTCAAATGAAGGTATAATATCAATATGTCATGAGCATTTTTTTATGACCAGTTTCTAGCCAGCTAAGTGCAGAGTGTCAGTTCTCCCCCTGCTGAGTCATGAATGATCTATGGGATTGGTAAATAGTACCAGATGGAAAGGACTGGAGCCTGGAATCCTCTCCTTATTTTCTGAGTAGGTGCAGCTTGGACAACTCAAGTAAATTCTTTTCCCCCTACTGCCCTTCTAAAATTTCCTACTGCTGCCTGGAAAGAAATATCAGAAGACTGAGAAAATCACTTCTCTTCAGTTGCTTAGTTCTAGCAGGACATGACTGGGATTTGGGGAGGCATGGGACTGATGTGGCCGAGAAACAGATCTTTCCAAGCAAGTCCTGTGCAAAGCAAACACAGCTGGAACAATGCAGGTTACCTTTTGCAAAGTGGAAGTTTGTCAGCTGGCAATCCCCTCAACTTTGCCAAAGCGGTTTATGTGCATCCTGGAATGCTTGGAAACAGGACTTAAGACCAATTGGCCTCTGCATTATGTTTAAGCACCAGTGACTGGAGGACTAGAGGAGTGGCTGTTGGCCATCCAGGCTATACGACGTCTGCTTCTCTTGGAATGAATTCCTTCGGAACTATTACACAGCTGGCTGAGTTATGTAGCCCCTTATGGTAATCATTAACTCAAGCTTTTGGATCCCGATTGCTTTCCAAATCCAGTGGGTAGAACCTAGGTGGCTTTTCAAACCCAGACTGCAGAACTTGGGGGTGAGGGATTGAAGTTCTTACACTTTTTGATGGATGTGAATACCCCCAGTATCTAGGAGCTGTACAGATTCCCCCTAGAGATTCTCCTGGGACTGCAGCATGACCTGTGCATTGTGAAGCTCTTTTTAACATATACATGCCCACATAGAAGTTAGACTCTAAGTGGCCACAAACACCTGAATAACTTTGCATTTTGCATCAGAGCTCTTAGCACCTTTAAGGGTTGGCCCATAGAGATCCAGTCTTTCCTGTCTTTCGCTCCTTTTGCTGAATCCACTGGTCCACCCTGTCCCTTCTTGCTCGATAGTCTTTTCCTTTTAAAAGCAAGGCCTGGCACTTTGCTTCCCTCCTCATCTTGGGATTTTCCATTGTGTCAGTTCTTGAACAGGATTGTTGCCGCTAAAGGTCAGCAGTTCTGCTTGCTGCTGTGCATGGCCACACAGCATGTTAGCTCCACTGCAGTATCCATGAGGCTGTTGGACGGTTCATCATGCTTTTTCAGACATGCAGATATGATGTGCCTATTGCCATAAAAAAGGAGTTTCACGTACAGTCTAGACTGTAGGTGAGGTTTGTCGAGTCAAACAAAACATCAGTATAATCATGTAACGAGAGCTGCAAATGCAAATGGAGAAACAGATTAACCTGCTATATAGAGACATACCCACATGCTTATGAAGATACAGGCAGCTTCCTTCCTAAGCTTTCTTTTTGCTTTTGCTTTTAAAAAAAACCCTCTGACTATTAATGTTTGAAATGCCAGCAATTTATATTCTTAGTTCTTAAACCTTACTTGGGCCTAGCGTATCATACTGGCATTAACCCATCTGGGGAGTCCCCTGCTGTACCTTCATATTCAAGCTATTGCTCATACTGTGATACTTGATCACTTGCTGCATATAAACCATGTATTTTGATTTTTTTTTTAAACTAGGCTATCAGTGTCTTGATTTTCCAGTTTGTAATACAAAGCATTTGTTAGGATGCAATCTAAAATACACTGTCATGAACTGCTGTTCAGTGTTGTACACGTGTATGAGATTTTGCTCTGTAAATGACAGTTGGGTGTTCTTGCACAGTGCAGAGTGATGTGAACAAAATAGAATCATGCCTTTGCTGAGATTTAATTTCTCGCTTCCCAGAACAAAGTATGATCTATAGGGTTTTGGTTAGTGCCAGTCTGCTGGCTGAGGAGGATTGATCTGGGTTAGCAGATTCTATCCACAGCAAGGAAGAACCACACTGAACAGCTAATTCTGGTACTTTGAGTTCAGAGGATGTGCTGAACAAGCTCCTCTCAATTATCAGGGGAGGACTTATTTTCTGGACGATGGCAATTTGCCCTTCATGTGAGAGGAAACACCAGTGATTAAAGCACTTGCTTTCTGCAATGTTCTGTTCCAAGAGCACGAGAGTGTGTTGTCTTGGTCTAAATCGATTCTCAATGTTCTGTTTCATAAGTCTTCATTGATTTTTTCTGTTGCGTATTTGGTATTTTTTTTGCACATCAGTCCCTTTCTCCATTTCCAAACCCAAGGTGGGCAGGCATTACTTACTATCTCATGAGTGCTGCTGCTCTCAAGTCATTTGTGGGTGTCCCATAAACTATACTCCTCCTATACGCTCCTACCCCCCTTCATAAAGGTACAAAGTTGTGTTTAGTTATCGAGATGAAAATGAGCGATCCCTTGTATATCTTCTGAGCTGCAGTTAGGACAAAGCTGGAAGGAACAGCTGGAGCTTCATCCTTTGCCTTCTAGGCACTATGAATATATCCAAAAACTCATTTGGACCCACATGCCTATGGAACTGAAAATACTGATATGGAGAAATAGGTCAGGTTCTCCTGGCAAAGCGATTGTTGACATTGCTGATCTCAAGTACGATTTAAGCACGTACATCTATTATCTTAAAATGACAAAATGAGTCACGTTTGAGTAACATTTATAAAGGAGTGTGTTCCTTTTGCTATGTATCCTTGATAACTTTTCTGCAGGGCAGCTGAATGGGTTTTACTGAAATATTTAACTAGGTTAGTAAGGTTTAAAATAAAATCTTAGTATAAAACTCTACTCCAGTACAATATATGTCAGATTATATATGGGGAGGCTGTAGAGCTGATTTGTTCTGTGTTTTGAAAATACTCATTTATTATTCTCTTGGTATTTTTTTAACTAAAAGTTTATGTTATTAGACATTCAAGCATACAGATTTTTATGTTCAAAACTAAAAATCAATATTTCTGTTTAGAGGATAATCGATGCCTTAGAAGAAGAAAAGCAGTTCCTGACCATGTCAATCACAGATTACCTGAAGGACTATCAAGAACTACTGCAGGTGAAAGCAGGTCTCATCCTTGAAATTGAAACGTACAGGTAAGAACTGTGGTCACACTCAGTTGTCTAAACGGAGGATAATGTAAATCCCTTTTTGCAGACACGGGAGCCCTGTACGGACATCTACCTTTACAGTCTCAGATCAAGGCTCCTTGTATGCATTGCTTTTTGTTAAATAGACTGAATGGACCCTTAATATCAGTTTTTAGCTCGCTGTTGGCTTGTTCTGTGACTTGGGTCGCCATGCCTTTCTGTGCTTGCCTGTGCTGTCTGTGAAAGGAAGATAACGCCCCTTCAGAAGGCTGCTGATACGTGTGAAGTTGTCTGAAATCTCTGGGAAAACTTCAATAATAGTAAAATACCGTTATTCAGTAGTAACGCTGATAAGAATTACCAGTGGCCAAGGGTGACTGGAATTTTATCACTTGAGCATAACTGTCTCTGGTGGTAATTAATTCTAGTCCTCTGTCCCCAGAACAACATTTCAGAGAAGCCAATATAATCCATGGGAATCCTATTAACTTTGTACAGACATAGTGATATGTAAGAAACCTTAGTCCTGGTCAAGTTGATATCAAATTGATGTGAATTGTTGACACAGTATTTAAAAGTAAAAGCTAAGGAGCCAGTACCCCTAAATTGCAATTAATTAAACGTGAGGAAGTGTAGTCGCCATCTGTTAACTTATGGAGCACGTTTCATTGTTTAAATTTATTGAGGAATATCTACCTACATCATCAATAAAAATAGGGAGTTCCCCGTTCTTGTTTCAGCTGTAGGGTAGAGTCAAGATAACCATACAGTTTGTTTGATTAAATCCTGGCTTTCTGCATCCTTGGTTTGTTTTGAAACACGTTTGGATCAAGGGTGAGGGACCAGTAAACATCATCTCTGCTGAGAAATCTTCAGTGCTGTGTATCTCTCTAGCCACTGAGTACCTGTAGGTTTGAAAAGCCAGAGTAATTCTCCTGCCTGGAGGATCGTGATATATGAGGTAGCACACAGCATAGAAGTGATTCAGAAGGAAAAAAACAACACAAACCAAACCAAAACCTGTGATTGGAGGAAGGCACTACCTTATTGTAAGGATTATGGGTTTTTTTCCCTACAGCTAGTACAGTAGTTTCAGTAAATTTCATTGAGAAGCATCTTCAAATGAATTCAGTGCTTATTGAGCAAAGTAATAATCTGTCAAAACTTAATGTCACCCTACTTTTGCATTCTTTTTAAGGATTATGCCCCAGTCGTTAGCTTGTTGATGTTGTGTGTGTTATTCATAGTTAACCTGTGTAAGCAGGCAATGGGATTTCCAGTTATGATAAATGCTTCCATGCCCTACAGCATTATTCTTGTATTCTAAATGTGTAACACTGCAGTGAACCAATAAGCATTTAAGTCTGGATAAGGATGGCACCAGCTGAATTATGGATGAAGTGTGTAGACTAAAGCAATTCACTGATAAATACGAAATTTAATTGTAGTTGCATAACTGAAAATAAGAGAAGGTTGAAAGAGTGACTTCCGAGTAGCTTGATACCAAAGGATGTCTATAGTCCATCAAAAAGCAAAACCAATCTGTTTGAGGTGCCTCAAGTATTGTGTGCTATGAGGTACAGACCAAGGCTGGCTTCTGGATGACATGAAATTACAAGGCATATGTGGGACAAGTAATTTTAAGTCAGTTGGTGAGTGAGAGAACATTGGTATTTGTTGGTGGAGTTGGATCCCTGTGATCCTTGGAAATCTAATAGCAGCTGGAGTGCTATTAGTAGAAGAGAAACAGTGGAAATGGTAGCTAGTTGTTATCCTTATCTGGGTGTGTTAATTCTGTTAACTTTGCTAAAACATACGATTCTTCTAAATTTAATCCTAGCTCTGATGTTGACTTTTATTGTTGTCACTTAAACTTACTCCCTTGGTTTAGTCATCTGCAAAATGGGATTAGCATGTTCACAATAGCAGAATTGTCAGAATTGTTTTGATGATTAGTATTCATCCAGAAGTAGGAATGCTAATGCCCAGATATTTAGTTGTTTGGACACACTCTTAGTTATTAAGTGAACCGTCAGTGCTTCTGCTCTGTAAAACCTTGTAAGCCCATTAAATTCTGGAACTTCTCCAGAGGACATATCACTGATTATCTGAGCATTATTGGTTTGTCTAAGGATTCCCTGTCCTTTTTAATGAAAGGAAAGCAGTTCAGCATCGCCAACAGCATGTGTTAGTTGTCCAGTTAAGAAGCTCCTTAACCTGCAGGGTTTCTTCATCTGATTGTGGTGAATGCAGCTGCTGTCACTGATTGCATTGGCAAAGCAGACTTCAGTGTACAAATGAGCATCCAGCTACTGATAGAGACCTACAGATAAAACCAGAGAAATCGGGTTGCTACAGATCAGAAAACATGCTATCAAATACCTGCTTGCAGTTATCAGAAGCTGATGGTGATTGTTTTGTGGTTTTCCCTTTATGCCGTTTTCCCTATTCCTCTTTCCTTCTTATTCACCCCTAAGACAACAATGCCTTTGCTACTGTATGCCTTTATCAGCAGCCCTGTGGGAGGAAATCACTGTGGATCCAGGTAGTAAGCTTTGTAGTAAGAGAATTCTGGACTGCTCATCAGTGTCCTTTTTCAAATTCTCTTCCTCTCCCGGGTCTTTTTATCTGTGATAATCAGAGCACATGAAGCCACCTTCAGTGTGTTTTCACAAAGGGTGCTGCCATGTACCCTTACTTATGCGCATTGGAAAGGAAAGGCACCTACTCACACGTTCAGCATCTTGACCTTTCCACTGAGGAGTTTCCATGAGGGCACTTCCTCTCCTCCTGGAATTATAGGTACCTTCAGTGTGTTTTCACAAAGGGTGCTGCCATGTACCCTTGCTTATGCGCATTGGAAAGGAAAGGCACCTACTCACACGTAGTTCAGCATCTTGACCTTTCCACTGAGGAGTTTCCATGAGGACCTTGGCACTTCCTCTCCTCCTGGCATTATAGGTTAAGGGTGTGGTATCTGGTCTGCTTCTTGGAGCTTTCTTTGTACCTCCCACTCTGTATTTTCTCTTTGTTTTACAAATCCTCCAGCTTCTGTTTTTAAAGCCAGTTCTTTCCGTTAGTCAACATTGCTCCTGGAATGGCATGAAGGATCACTGTTGCGAGGAACACCCTTCCCCAAGGACCAAGTGTGCTTCCTCTCGGCTTCTGCTCAGCCTTCCTGCGCTGGGAGCTGAGGCTCACTCAAGAAGTGAGCCTCACATGTCTTCTGTGGCTTTATGAAGCTCTGTCTCATCAGAATCCTCCTTTCCAATCCTTTTTCCCCACTGTTGAAGTACATACTTCTCTTGCGCGTTTATTCTGTATTCTTGGAACCCTGTAAAACTGCAGTTACTTAGACTATGCTTAAGTTTTATTTCCAGAGAGAAGTGGTGAATTATTCACTGTGTAAGACTCATAATTTTCAAAGGAGATAGAAAAATCTGCCTAGGATCAGAATTCCTATCAAGCCTTTCTCCTCAGCTATCAGAAGCTTCTCTTCAAATCACAGAAGCTGCCCAGAGCCTGTGCCATAGGTTACCTCTCTAAAATATGTTGTTGAAGGGTAAAAGATTTACTTTGAAATCCTAATGTCACGCAAATGTTCTGTTCTGGGTTACCACCCTGCATTTTGAAGCAGTAGAGTCTACAATGCTTTATTTTAATTTGGGGGGGGATTTTTTTGTCATGGTCATTTTCAAGATCTCTTAATATGTTTGTTGGCATACTGTCAGATCCTCCTTCAGCTGGTTTCCTCCATCAACACTTCTGACCTTTTCCATGTCTTTGTCTCAAGAAGTTATCACCAGTATTAAGGCCACAGCTTCTCACCACAGCTTTTTCACTCAGTTTCATTATTTCCTGTTTACAACATGTACCATCCGATACATCCTATTCCTGTATTTGTTTTATTTTGAGAACATCTAACATGCAGTCAGTTACTTGCTGTTCTTAACACAGTGCTTGTCTTCTCATCCCATGATGGAAAAAAGATGTTGAGTGGCCTTTATTCCTAAAAATGTTTCCTCCCTTCCACTTCCTGGAGAGTTCTCTTTTCTTTTTTTTTTGATTTTTGGGATTACAAAATGCCCCAGATAGAGAGGAGGAATTTTCACAGCCTGCTGGCTAACTGCCCCTGTCTGAGATTTTGGGTTTCTGCAGTTGAAACACAGTCATTGCTGCTGTGAATGACCATGACAACATCTGCACTGCAGCCTTTTGGTTTTGATAACTTCTTTCTTCCCACCCCAACCAGTTTATCTTGTCTACCTGCTTTCATCTTCTATCTCTTGTCATCCAGCAGACTGCAGGGCTTCAGGCTGACTAGCTAATTTTAAATAAATGACATTAATAATTAGATGAGTTAAATGTGCAGTTGGAATGTTTTCTGGCAACACTTAAACTTGCTTTTTTGTTATTACTGTGAATGCTACAGAGTTCATACAGTTGACATTAAACACCTTGTACTTCAGGCAGTTTAGAAGCAGTTATAGTGTAAATGATTAGTACTAGAAAGTGATGCAAAGAAACAAAGAAGCACCATGACTGGCATAAATTGAAGCTATGGTCAAGCTGAGTTTGCTGGTTTCTGAGGCAGTGCTCGGTACCTTACACTACCATTTCTCATGCTAGTTTCTTAAGCCAAAGTTGCTTTAACATTTTTCTTGTTTATCTGATAAGCTTGAGGACATACGTGTTACAAACTGTGTATAGTAAAACACTGATTCACTGCCCAGTTTCACAGAGGTTTCATGAAGCTTTGCCTTTCATTTTCAAATGCAACGTATTTTCAGTTTTAATATTTCACATCCAGCTTTTCTGTGTGCTGTTGCCCTTTGCCATATACAGTTACCTCTTGGAACTTATTTTTAGTGACTTCATAGGTTGCTGCAGCAACTGAACAACTGTTGTTTTAACAGCAGCCAGAAATCCTTAGTCAAACTACCCACATTCCTAGTCTCCTTCATCATGGTTAACACATTCATTGCCAACTCCTTGATATATTTCCACAATGTCACTAACAGCTTCTCTAGCACTTGTCTATCGGAGCAATTTTTTTTGGCATTCACTGGCTTCATCAGATCAGGAGTTTGGTCTTGGCAATCTTCTCTATATGTGGTGAAGTCACCGAATTCCTGTAACACCTCTCTTCAACATCAAGGAAGATAAATTGCTTTTACTTTTTTGGGTTGGTTTTTTTGTGTTTTTTTTTTTTTTAACTAATAAAACAGAAGAAAAGATGTCTATCTCAGCCTGTTTTAAGGGCAATAGTGACCTGTAAATATGGCAGGTAACTCCACCCTGGCTTTTCTTCCGAATAGAGGCAAATACAAAAAAAACCCTTACTAATGGTATTTTGCTGATGTAGCATTGTCATACTGAATCTAGAGGCAGTCAGAAGCCAAAAGAAGCATAAAATGTGGAAAATGATTAGTCATGTGAAGTGTGAAATCTACAAGTGACATTTTAAATGCCTGCTTTGTTAACTTTGACAGAAATGCCCAGCAAATGTGTTTACAGCACTATCCTAAATTGCTTTCAGCTCCCCTGGTGGGGAGTCGGAAGCCTTGGCTATCTGAATCCTCCAGCTTTACTCTTGACAACTTTCATGTTGCAGCTGGATGTTATCAGTGCAAAACATCTGGCATTTCCAAAACGGGAATGGATGGAACAGGTATCTCACCAGCAGAAGTGAATATAAACCCACCCAAGTTACCGTATGGATTATAGCATTCCGTTGCATATCGAAAGAGCCTGCCAGGGTATTTCTAGGTTGTTGCACCAGAATGCTGCAAGTTTGTTTTTTGGTGTTTCTTTTAATAACATAGCTTGTGGCCCTGCAAAAGTAGAAAAGGGACAAACTGCCTTTTTTTTTTTTTTTTTTCTTTTGCTTGTTTTTAACAGCTGGACATATTTTATGTCAGACAGCAAGAGGGAAGGAAAGCACACAAAGATTTCCAGAGAATTTATCAGGAATTCTGAGACTCGGTCTGCCTGGAGAACCATTTCTAAAGCTTCTAGCACTGAATTAGGTCAACCAAATGTCTACTTTTTATATGTAGTATACGGAGAAAGCCAACAATTTGGGTTTTTTTTAGAGTTATGTAGTTCTAGAGAATGCAAGTAGTCTTCCCGCCCCACCCCAGAGGACAAGAGTATGCTGTGTGCCTGTCTGAATATTCTTAACACAGAGCAATTACTCCTCAAAGTCTTTTGCCCCGTAGTTGTGCTAATCTTTGTGGGAAATGTGTCTCCGGAGTGAGAATATTTCCCACCACTGGAGAAAGGAGGAAATGTAGGGTAGTAATGTTCTGCAGGCATAGAACAAGCCTGTGGCTGCTGCCAGATGGGTCTTGAGGGAGCGAGCTCCTTGTAGGCACATGCTGTGCGGGGAGCAGAGTTTGGTGTCAAGGCAGGGCAGCCAGGGCTCTCAAGCAATCAGCTGGGTCCCGTGTCTCCAAGAACAGCTAATGTGTGTCACCTGCAGACAAGAGGCAACTCAAAGAGTCTCCGTTCTGTGTGTCAGCACACCAAGAATAGGGAGTAGACGAAATTATGAAGCAGATTATCAAGTTGCTGCCTGCTTCTGCTCTTTGCTCGTAGTGATATGATTTCCATAACGCAAGGGTAAACAAACTGGTGTCCTGTCCATTTCTGACCTATTGCTGCTGAGCTAACCTGATGTCTTGGCTGATCAACAAGCAGAAGCCTTGATGACAAAAATCCTCTTGACAGTGCTGGCTTTCTGGAACTATGGAAGCTATTAGAGAGCCACTGCAAAAAAAACCCAAACAAAAACCAAAAAAAAGAATGGAAGGCTGAGGACAGATGGGACAAGCAGAGATGTCTTTAAAAAAACCCAAACAGTTTCTGTCACAGAAATTCTACTTAGTCTTTTGTTGTAAAATATGTTACAGAATCACAGAATGTTAGGGACTGGAAGGGACCTCGGAAGATCATCTAGTCCAATCCCCCCGCCGGAGCAGGACACCTAGACGATGTTACACAGAAAGGCATCCAGGCGGGTTTTGAATGTCTCCAGAGAAGGAGACTCCACCACCTCCCTGGGCATCCTGTTCCAGTGTTCTGTTACCCTTACTGAGAAGAAGTTTCTTCTCAAATTTAGGTGGAACCTCTTGTGTTCCAGTTTAAACCCATTACCCCTCGTCCTACCATCGGTTGTCACCGAGAAGAGCCTTGCTCCATCCTCGTGACACTCACCCCTTACATATTTATAGACATTCAGGAGGTCACCCCTCAGTCTCCTCTTCTCCAAACAAAGAGACCCAGCTCCTTCAGCCTTTCCTCGTAAGGGAGATGCTCCACTCCCTTAATCATCTTGGTTGCTCTACGCTGGACTCTCTCCAGCAGTTCCTTATCCTTCTTAAATTGAGGGGCCCAGAACTGGACACAAGATTCCAGATGTGGTCTCACCAGTGCAGAGTAGAGAGGAAGGAGAACCTCTCGTGACCTACTAACCACCCCCCTTCTAATACACCCCAGGATGCCATTGGCCTTCCTGGCCACAAGGGCACAGTGCTGGCTCATGGTCATCCTGCTGTCCACCAGGATCCCCATGTTATATTGATTTCTGACTGAATAGGAACTAAGAATAGTTACTTTAATGCTGTAAGCTGTCTCCTCCAGCGCTAGCCCATGTTTGACAGCAGAAGTAATACTTTCCTTCAGTTTTCATTTGAAAAGGGTAGGATTTACAAATTCTGGCTGAAACAGCTCCCTCACATACCATGCTGCAACAGCACCTTTTAGTACAATCTCACCACTAGGAAAGCTGCTGACTATTTGCTAGCAAATACTTTTTTTTTCATTTTTGCCTTTTCTTTATAAAACATCTGCATGTGTTTCTCTGAGAAAGCTTTATTCAATATCTGTTGAGTTTTGTGTGGCTTTGTTTTCTCCTAACTGTTACAAGATCTTAATTCTGGGAAAAAATTGCTAGTTTGTATGATTGCGTAGTGGAAATTGGCGGATTGTGTCCATGTCAGGAAGCAGTATATTGGCAAATGTGGAAAATTTGATCTAAAACCGTACTGTGCCTGCTGCTGTCATCTCCTGTAAGATTAATAACTCTACAAATGAAGACTGTGGAAGATGCTAAGGATTTCTTATTGCCAGTAATAAAAATATGGAGTGTGAAAACCACTTATGATCTGACCCAACTGCAGGATAATTATTTCAGTTTTTAGGACTGATAAATGTTAAATATTGTGAATATTATTTGCAATATTTTAATGGAATGCCTTTTTATACGTCTTGCAGAGCTTTGTTAGAAGGGGAGAGCAACCAGTGGATTATTACGTGGAGAGATCGGTATGCAGGGAAATTGCCTCAAGGTAAAAAAGATTATTAAAATTGAATGTTGAATGAAATTGAAACTATTGTGTTATAGTATTCCTGAAGAGTACTTATTGAGTTGGTTTTAAGTGTTAATATTTTAAATCAACATAGTGCTAGTCTGTATGAGATAATTTATAAAATCATGACTCAAGTGGAGAAGTAGTGAGTGATGTTTCATAGCTCTAGTAGTGCAAGAGCTTTTGGATGCCTGTAGTCCTATGAGAGTTTTGAAATAAAAAGAAAGAGGTATTTAACAAAACGTGTAGTTTCAAACCCTGGAATTCATCATTATGAGGCACTGTGAGTGTTATAAAGTTAATGTGGGTTTAAAGAGAAATTTTAGGAGAGTAATGACAGAAAAATCAAAGACTTACTAAACATAAAGATACCGTTTCTATCTTAGGAGCTGCAAATCTCTGGAGGCTGTGAGAGTATACCAGGGAAGTATCACTATTTACTTGCCCTGTTCTCATACTCTTCTCTGTGTATCTACTGTTGGTCACTGTAAGCAGGACACTAGCTCAGGTGGACCTTCGATGGGACTCCTATAGCTGTTGTTAATAATAACAGAATTAGTCTTGATAATATTCCCAAGTTGAACCATGTGTGGTCTTAAAATCTCAGGCTGCCACAGACAGTAGTCCCAGAAGAGACTGGAAAGCTGTAATAGTAAATTAAACAGACCAGGGCCTGGGCTGCAATGCTCGCACAGAATTGCCTGTGCAGTTAAATTATTAGCAATACCCCCGGTATGGTTTTGATCTGCACTAGCCAGCGCTTTGCAGACAACACTCAGACTTGTTCAGTGGTTACCACAGACCAGCAAACACCACCAAAATTCAGATGAGAGGTGGCTATGTTTTTTGGAGGAGATTTGAGTCGTGCAGTGCTGGTTGGTCTTAAAGCCAGACAATGATTCCTGGTACATTTTATGAAATTGTACAGATACAGCGTAAAAGGTTCTTTATTTCTCCCCCTTGTTGAACCTTGCTGTATCTTGTGGCTATGAAGGGTTGTATTTGTGTTTTTAAATTCCAGTTTGTGGTGGCAAGTATGCCATTAATTCTCAATAGGAGCTGAGAAACTTCAAGGCACTTTCATGGCTGAAGCAAAAACCCCAAGCCTAGTATATTAGCAGACATTATTTAATAAGAAGTTGTAAATGTTAATGAACATTAATATAAATACAAAAGGTGTAATTCTTAAGTAAATGCCGTAATACCTGGTATCTCAAAGCAGGTAAAATTAGCAAGAACTTGCAACTTAGTAAAAACCTTTGCTTTCAGTTTTAATATAATGTATGCATAGACTTAATTATTGTGTAAAACCTACAGGACCGCATTTACAAAGGTCCACTGAAAATAAAGCCATTACTTCTTTCAAAAATTTAGTATAAAACTTCTTAGTTCATGCCCTCAGTTTTACATTGTTTTAAATACAAACCATTGTTTTAATGTTCGGTTACCTATGCTCTTTTCGTAGATATTATAAACACTTCATATAACTACACTGATATTTACTCTACTTATCAAGAAAGAAATAGAAATAAAGGCTCACCAGCTGTCAGGATCACCGATACGAGACACAGAATGCCCGTGACAAATACTAGCAGTTCTGCACATTATTCAGCTTGGTCAACACAGGCTGGATCACAGACAACAGCTAGTGGAAGAGCTGTTGGAAGAGATGTACTGGGGTCAATATATCGACCTTCAACAACTGTTACAAAGGATGAAAGGATTGTAACAGACCACAAAGAACTCAGAACCTTTACTCCAGCCTACAGTAGCTGGAGAAGCACTGAAATGCAGCAAAAGACAATTCCAGAAAGAAAGAGAACAGAAGTTACAACTTCATCCACAGTATCTGTTTCAAAAGAATCAGCACATGCTGAAAGATCAGACAAGGACCGCAAGCCTGACACAAAGCCAGGGATTTCGGAAAATATACGAGCAAAACCGAGCTTCACTAGATTTCCGACTTACGAGCTGAATACCAATTTTAAACCATCTAAATATGAAGAAACCATAACTGAAACTCAGACCACACTAAGAAGAGGCAGCAAACCAACTGAAGAGAAGAAAGCTCTGCTGAAAGAAAGAGATAAGCTAGAGAAACAAACAGAGGAAGAGAAAAAGAAAACAGATGAGAAACCTTTTACAGATGAAAGAAGCGTTGATTTTGGAAGGAGGACCGAACATAAAAGATCTATGCGCGAGGAAGTGAGGTTAACAGGGAGTGATATTTCTAATGCAAGAACATTCAAAAGCGAATCAACCAAAAAAGATACAAATGCAACCTTGGAATCAAGAAGAAAAGAAGCGATTGAGATACCCATCAGTCTTGAAATGCCTGCTCCTGACAAAGAATCTCAGAGTAATAAAGGTTTTAAAACTTCCACAGGAAGAGGAACAGATGACCATGTAACCAAACCTGCTGAAATTCACAAAGTGCATGTTTCAGAAGCAGAATCTAGTCTGAACGATGAAGAGCGAGTTAGTGCTGGAAGTCATAAAACAGGAAATCTGTCAACTGAAAATATCGCGGAGAATATCGTTGCTGATATTCTTAAAAGTTTTACGCAGTCTTCTAGTTCACAAGTATCAACAGACACAAAAGTGACCTATTTTAATAAGCAAGAACAACCAGATGATGGGAAAATCAAGACTGAGATCACAGTGCAATCTCAAGTTCAAGAAAACATAGATATTTCTGATGAAGCTGGTGGACGAGGTCTATCAAAGCAGGATGTCAGAAGAGCAGTTCGAGAGGGTGTTGAGGGAACTCCTTCCAAAGAGGAGATAGAAGATATAGTACATCACGGCCTCAAAGGAAATGAGGGTGGAAAGAATATATCTGTTAATGTTGAGATTGTAGAAGAGCCACTGGATTATGCCGCTGATGAACGGACTGATTTTTCAACGCCTTTTGAAGTAGAGGAAGTGGAAGATACATTCCCTGAGAGAGAGAGGCGTTATGGTGATGAGGAAGAAAACGTAACATTCACTTATGAAGATGTCAAAAAGAAGAAACGCCATGAGAGCTTCACTCGTGTGGAAGAAGTAACTGGGGAAGATGACTCACCTATTGAACAAAAATACTTTGTATCCGTTCCTGATGATCATCCTATTATTAATGAAAAAGACGATGACTCAATATATGGGCAAATTCACATAGAAGAAGAATCAACTATTAAGTATTCCTGGCAAGATGAATTTTTGCAAGGCACACAAAGTAAGAGAGATGAAGGTGTAAGCTCTCCAGAAGAAACGTATCAAGTGGTAGGGGAGGAAGCAAGTGCTCATATTTTAAAAGAGCATCCTGAAGGTGAAACATCCCATGTTGAATCCATTGTTATCGAGAAAGAAATTAAAATTCCCCATGAATTTCAGAGTTCAATAAAAGGACTTTTATCAAAGGAAACAAAGGACCCTAAACACCAGCTGAAGGAAGCTTTGGGGCAGTTGGAGGACAGCCTCCCAGAAAGTGTGAAGGAGGAGCTGTCTGCACTAACAAAACAAAATGAAGCTGACTCTAGTAGCTTAGAATTTGATATCAAAAAAGTCGATAAAAAGGAGGAGGGTGGCATGGTGACAATTGTTGCTGAAGTCAACCTGTCACAGACCCTTAATACTGATGAATTTGATGTAGCTCAGCTTGGTGAAGTAATTGCAAGTGAAGAAGATAAGGCAACATTGCACTTCCTGACAAAAGAGAGCTCGGAGAGAGTTGTTGATGGTAGAAGTAATATGGCTCATCAAGAAATCTATAACTCATCCACAGTCAGGAGGAGCGGTGGCACAGGATATCATACTGCTGAAGAAGTTATTTATGACGGTTCAGTTTTGGAAACTGCACATTTTGGCGAAGCCTCTTGCTCACCACAATCAACTGGTGAGACCAAGCCCACAAGACATGTTAAGGTTGGTCCAGCAGAAGTTCAGAGGTTTGAGCAGATCGTGTATGAAGTGCCTGGTTCTGAAATGTTGGAGCTTAGTGCTACAGAAGATCTTGTTCAGACAGAAGGATCATCAGAGTTTAGCCGATCTGTGAAGCATTTTAAGCTGGGTCCCAAAGAAATCCAAACCACAGAAGAAGTAATTTATACAGGCCCTATTACTACAACTGTAGAGGAGATTGATTCTGGAAATCTTTCCCAGAAGTTTTCAACAGACTTCAACAGGTCCACAAGACATGTCACAGTAGGATCAAGGCAAGTAACTGAAGAAGTCTCTTTCGAAGGGCCTGTTTCAGACTTGCTGGAGACAGAAGGGTCTGTGGATGTCAGCAGATCAATAAGGCACTTTAAATTAGGTCCAAAAGAGATTCACACCGAGCAAGTTATCTTTGAAGGACCAATCTCTGGTAAAGTGGAGGTCAGTGACACCAGAGGCTTCTCACAGGCAGAAAGTTCAGTCAGACACATTCAGCTGGGTCCCCAAGAGTTTATGACCGCTGAAAAAGTAATCTACCAGGGGCCCATCTCTGAGCACACAGAAATCAGTGAACTGGAAGACCAGACTCTTTCAGGAGGCTCAGTAAAGCGTTTCAGAATAGGTCAAGTGGGAGTTAAAACCACTGAACAAATCGTGTATCACAGCTCCCATTCTGAAACTCCAGAGCTCATTAACAAAGAAGGACACCTTTCAGAGAATGAAGGAGGCTCAGATGCCAATAGATCTTTCAGGCACATTAAAATAAGTCCTGTAGAAACTCATGCTGAGCAAATAATCTTTACAAGACCTACTTCTGAAACGGTGGCAGATCATTCACAAACGGAAGAGTCATCTGAGAGCAGTAGGTCTTTAAAGCATATTAAAGTAGGATCCAAGGAAACATCCTATACTTTTCAAATGGACGTTTCCAGCATGGGTGGAATATCTACAGGGAAAAGTGGAGAACAGCAAGCGACAATGCTCATTACCCGTAAGCAAGACTCTTCTGTTATTCAGCCACAGATTGCAGTCGAAAGTGACCAGGTTGTAGAAAATGAAAATCAAAGAAGAGACTATGTCCTTTCCAGTTTTTCTCAAGATCATGGTGAAGAGGTAGTGGAAAAGTCATTTTTTGATAAGACTGTACAGTTGCAACGAATGGTAGACCAAAGGTCAGTTATTTCTGATGAAAACAAAGTTGCTCTTCTCTATCTGGACCATGAGGAGGAAGATGATGATGAGAATGATGGCCAGTGGTTCTGAAAGGACTCTTCAGTGAAGTCTACTTAGTAATTTGTTTAATACATATTTTTGATTATCCTTTTTTAAAAAAAAAAAGAGTAAGAAAGAGATGGGGAAACACCCCAGCTATTTAGATTAATAATAGTGGACTCAGAAGTATTGAATCTAAGCCTCTACCTATTCAGCACACTTGTTATGTTATTGAAAATTTTACTTTTGGGAGAAATCGTGCTATTGTTTTCCTCAGAGACCTGTGTCCAATAATTTCAGATTTTTCCACCTGTAGAAACAGGGATTTAATGCTGGGGAGTTCAAAGGATTCTATATTATATTTGTTTTAAAGCAGGTCAGTTAGTAAGTGTGTGCTTAAATAGGACTTTTCCATTTTTTTTCTTGATAAATACTGTATCGTACTTGGTTACTAAAATCTCAAGCTACTAACCACAAATATAACAGAGGATGAGACTATTGAGACTGGTAGGTAGCTGATTTTCAGTTTTATTTTTGTGTATTTATATGCAATACCCAAAGAAAACATTTTAAGATACAGTTATTATATATATAAAAATAAATATAATTCTATAGGATCAAACTAAGAACATAAAGAATTGACAAAAGTTATATTCTTTCTATAGCTAGAATGTAGTGTGAAAAAGAAAGGCAACACTGAAGCAATAATTTTTCACGGTATTGCTAAAGAGAAATAGTGATTTTTATGGTTACACAGTAGTATATTTAATATCTTTAAAAAGAAAACAAATTTTAAAAATAGACTGGATAGTATTTCCACTGAAGGAAGACCTCTTTACAGCTTCAGTGGCTATGTACATGAATAATATCAATTTATTTTGCCTTATGAGGGTTACCTTGATACTAGGTGTTGCTAAATGTAAGTGTGAGGTATCAAAATTATTATATAATGCCTAATTTCTTAGCACAGTGAAATTAGCTAATATGTGGGGTTTTTCTGAAAAAAAAAAAACCATTTGGAAAAATGGCATCGATGACATGACTGTTGTGTGTCATTTCCAGATAATCCTTTGTTTGTTTACAGATGAGGAGATGCCCTTTTCAATTACTAGCCTTGCGTACCCAACCTGAGATTTATGCTTTTCTTTTATTTTTTTTGATTCTTTTTTTCTGGTTGTAACACTTGCCTCAAGCCAAAGTTGGCTTCTACCTAAATCATTTGAAAATAAGCTAATTTCACTTGGTTTGCACATTGGGTAAATGAAGGGCATAATTTAACTTTACAGTTGTAATTCAGTGACTTCAACGTCCAGATCAAAAGCCAGCGCCGTGAACTGTACCAAACGGCGCAGTGCTGGCAGGAGCAAAATAGCAGCCAAAATACTTGTGTCGCTGAGGTAAGAAGATACTATACTGGACACGTATGAGAAATCAGATACATAAATGAGAAGCTGCTATTTTTACATGCACACACACACATGCACATTCACTCACTCACTCTCACACCTTCTCTGCAGCGTAGAAACACGGATGTATCCGGACGGCAGCTGTTGTGCCGGTCCGGTGGTTGCTGACTCAGATATATATTTATTTTTTTTTTCCCTGTGGTTATGTAAGCATAGTTTTGCTTGTGCTAATCCATATTAGAATCCAGTGAAACTACTTGAGTCTGGCGTGGCTAGTCACTTGTCCAGACTCCTTAATTTTACCAGAAGTTAGGTTTTTCAAAACTGACTGCTGCTTTTATAATATGAATGTAAACGCAAAGTGGAAGCAAAGCTCTTGTGCTGACTGACGTATTGTGCTGTTTCAGACATGAGACAGTTAAACTGTTGTGTGCCTTAGTTACTACGTTTGAAACTGTCCAGAGATTAACTCATGAGGTTTGTCTGCGCTGCAAAATTTTCTGTACTTTTCCTTCATTCTGTGTAAGCGTGAGTAGCAGCGTACTCGGGATTGGATGGGTTTTGATCATGTGCCATGAAATCATTTGTGGAAATCGGAAGTGTAACCAACAGCTGGAAAATTAATTGGAAACGGAGTTGTATAGAAGCACTAAAGACACGTATGCCAAGCTTGTTTATACTGTTAACTGTGTAATAGATAATGTTTTTTCAAAATTATTTATATGTGCTAAAACAGGATCTTGTGCTTCCATTTACAAATAGGATGTTATTAACTCTAATACTTCTGATATCATCCTATACTTTTGTTTCCTTGGCTGACCCTGTAATTTTAAAGATGGTGACATCTCTGTGTTTATTTTAATAATTGTGTATAAGCCAGAATTTTCCAGCTAGATGCCTAACTGCAAGCAATCAAATTTTGTACTTGAAGTATTAAATAACTGCGTAAAGGAAACAGGTCTGTAATAAGCAACAGAGTTAAAAAAAAAATGATCAGTTTTCTTGAAGTTTTTTTCTAGGCTGAATATAAAACTCTGTAAAGCAGATCTAAGAATATCTGCAGAAAATGTGTTCTGTTACCAACAGAAAGCTATTTACAAGGTCAAACCTGGTTATTGATGCCTTGTGGGATCTTTGACAGGCACGCTCCTTAGGAATAACTCTGCCAACACACTGTCATGTTTATCTTCACCTGCTCAGAGGATTATAATGTCAGATGCAGGAATAAACCAGTAAGGAGCAAGTAAATCATAAAATGTAGATGGTCAGATATTGATGGAGGGGAAAAAAAAGTAAAGTCAGTATTGTTTCCACTGAGGCAGCAACAGTTTTAAAAAAATCTTTTACACATCACTGTCAGAAGGGTCATACCAAGATATAACCCACTGTCAGTAGGTTATACCAAGATATATTTATATTTTGATTGTCTGGAGGGAAAAATCTGTTTTGTGTATTTTCTTTAGTTCTATTTAAGATCAGGATTTTAATCAACTGTTGGGAAGTTAGAACTGGAAATGTGCATTTGCATAACATTTACAGATGTGTACATGAATGCTTTCAGGCTGTAAACACAAAGAAAAGGGTTTCACTTCTAAAAATGTTTGTGTAAGCAGCCTATTTTCCATTTCCCTCTTGTTAGCCTGAGACATTTTGACATAACGATAGCTTTTGGATAATCCTACCTTCAGGCAACGAAATGTAGTTTGGTGGACAGTGACATCCTGCAGGCCTAGGGGTTGCATTTGCAGGGCCACAGGTACATGTGTTACTATTAAAAGCAAATATAACTGACTCTCTGATGTACCTGCTCCCACCCTATAAGATAACTTTCTGCATAAGTATTAAACCCCGTGGCTGAAAGGATTGCTGGTATAACCTCGGTCAGCATGCACTGCTGAAGCTTACTCATATAAGTTGTGCTTTTCATTAAATACAAATAAGAACTTTACTGCTGAGTTTGGATTAAACAAAATGCTTTTAAAACATAACTAGTAATGTGGGGGGGGTATTAAAACCTATATATTTATATGCTGATATAGATCAGAAGTGGGGCACTATTTTCCAAATGTGTAAACCACTGGTCTAGAAAGCAAATATAGCATAGAATATAAAGAAAGATGTGTGAGAGACCTAGAATTCTGTATAGACTGGTGTTTGTGAATAGCAGGTGTTGAAGAAGACGGTAAGAATGTTGAAACTGGGTTTGTTGATGTCAGCTGTGTGATACTTTGCAGACAGCTTGTGTTTTGGTCATTTGCAACGAAACTGCATTTTTTTTGTGGTGGTATAAGCTTTGTGATTTTACACTTTTTCACTCTTGAGTATTAAACAATCAAAATCAATGCAGATGTTTCTCTTTCTTCTATTCACGATGATTTTAGGGCTGCAGTGTCAAAGAAATAGGACTTCATGATTATAAATATCTCTCTGTAAGACCTCTCAACCCAATCAGTTGATTTTGGTTCAAAGAATGAACATAATTTTTCGTTCCAGCCAAGGCTTACCTCTTTCACGTTGATAATAGAAACAATGGCAAAACATAGCATATTCTTTGTTGCAACTACACACAGCATGGGTGGACAAGCAGTGTTTTTTTTTCAGCAGCAGGTATTGGGAGAGGCAGAGTATAAAACAACATAGAAGGTGGAGTTGCCAGCATCATAGTCTTCCTTGGATCCTGGGATTTGACCAAGGTAAGTCTTAACTTCTACCCTTTTCTAGCAAAGAAAACCTTTTTCTGCATGTTTAGACCTTTAATGGAGAATTAGATATATATATATATAAAGCAGTATTCATCAAGTTTATTTTTCTCTTTAACCATATACTTTGGTGAAGAAAATACTATGCCTTTAACCCAGTTTTCTCTTGACTGAAGAAGCGAGTCATAATGAGATTTTTATGTGGAAAAGTGAGAAACTGATGGATCTCTGCAACCAAATGTGTAGAAAACGTGCCCAACAAACAAGGAAAAGTTTTTATTCAGCTAGGAAAAACTCCTGGTTTTTGAAAGATGTTATATCCAGCTATTCAGTTATCACAAACCACTAGTATTGGATTTGGTTTCCATTTCCAAATAGTGATGTGAAGCTGGTGAGGCAGGAACTTTGAGCTGCCATGTTCAGCTGCAGACCCTTTTTGGCACATGAGAAAGTTAAGATGCTGAATATGACCAAACACTAGGTAGAATTTGCTTCAGGTTTTATAGACCTGAAAGGAAGTGCCACATTTCAACCAAAATGCCTCTGACAGGCTAGAATTTCTACTTTCCTTTTACTTTTGTGATTCATTCTACAGTAAAAAAAACACACCTTGAATAGACTAGGAAACAGAAATCTAGATGTATGCAAGAAGTTAGTAAGTTGATTTATAATCTACAAGCAGATATGACTTCCTGAATTTTATTTTTATTTTCCTTCTTTTGTACTTAATTTCAGTGAATTTTCTTCCTCTACTAAAGGAAATAAAAAGATAGTGACTAATGTTCTGAAAAGACAAAGAGTCTAAGAAATACGTTCAGCTGTATTAATTTTATACCTGTGCTCATCTGTGTTACAATTATCTTTAAGGATATTTTTTTCAGTATTTCATGCAAAGAAGGGACACTGGGACTTTTTCATGGATAGGAGAAATGGAACCAACTGATTC